GGATTTTCTTATAACATGATCACATTTTTAAACCTATTTAGGGCAACAGTTGGAAATATGTGATGAAGAAACTGAATAAATTATACAGAAGTGCTCTTAAGAGGCCAAGGGAGAAGGATCACTTGAGGCCAGGAGTTGAAGACCAGCCTAAATGACATAGCAAGATCCCCATCTCCACAAAAATTAAATGAAATTAAATTTTAAAATTAGACGAATGTGGTTGCATGTGCCTGAAGTTCTAGCTACTTACACAAAATAATTTCTAAAAGCTGTAGTATAGTTTTTGATATATCAGATATTACATAATAACTACAAGAGATTTAGATTGTGTCTTCTTTGGTAAACCAAATGATATAGTTTGGATGTTTGTCCCCTCCAGATCTCATGTTCAGATGTGATCCCTAATGTTGGAGGTGGGGCTTGATGGGAGGCGTTTGGGTCATGAGGGTGGATCCCTCATCCCCTCCCCACTGTAATAATGAGTTCAAGAGTCTGGGATCTCCCACATCTCTCTTGCGTCCTCTCTCACCATGTGACGTATTTGCACTTACTTTACCGTCCACAATGAGTAAAAGCCTCCTGAGGTCTCACCAGAAGCCAGGCAGATCTTGGTGCCATGCTTGTATAGCCTGCAGAACCAGGAGCCAAATAAACTTTTTTTTTTTTCTTATAAATTACCCAGCCTCAGGTATTCCTTTATAGCAGTGCAAAATGGACTAATACACCAAGGAAAGCCAGAATATAATTCTGACATTCCAGACACGTTCTGCAGGTAAGAGCAAGGTCATAAATGACAAAAAACCTTGCTTGGTGGCTGAAAACAGCCAACATTTCTTATCTCAGTTTCTGTGGGATGGGAATCTAGAAGCAGCTTAGCCTAGCTGAGTGTTTCTGACTGAGGGTTCTTGTCAGACTACATTCAAAGTGTCATCCCATGCCGCAGTCTCTCAAAACTCAACTGAGGTTGGATCCACTTCCAGACTCACTCATGTTTCTGGTGGTAAGCCTCAGTTCTTTGCAATTCGAGCTCCTCCACAAGGTCTGTGTCACCACATGGCAACTAGTGTCACCTTCAGAGAAAGTGATGGAAACTACAGTCTTTTTTAATATTGTGCGTGGCATCTCT